GGTAGAGGAGACGCGGCCGGGGGTGAAGTAAAGACGGAAAGCCACAGAGTGTAAGGCCGGAAGGGCCCCCCAGGCCTGGTCTGATCTCCTGTGTATCCCAGGCTGCCGCCGCCCTAACCCACAACTGCAATTTAACCATAAGCGCTACATTGGGATGTTACATGTAGGTTAATTAACTAATTGACTAGTCCATGGATTTTTCCATGGATTAGTCAATAAGCGGGGGAGCTGCAGTGGAGTTAGTGCCTGACAGTGGGAGCTAACTCTGCTGTGGCTCTGCCGTTTAAATGTATTAAGAGCTTGCCAGCTCTTAAACCATTTAAAACTCTGGTGCACAGCAGGAGCTGGGCTGGCTGATTCCCAGCTGTGCTAGGTCCCTCCCTGCTGTGCTTCAGTCTTTGAAATGTTTTAAGAGTCAGTGGTCTCTTAATACACTTAAATACTTTTAAATTGGCTCCCCCCAGCACTGGCTCCTGCTCTCCCCCTTGCTGCCTCTGGACTAGTGGACTATCCAATAAGATTTTGCTTATCTGATAGTTGACCAGTCGCTTGCATCCCTAGTCTACAGCCCCCAGGAGACTAAATTATCTGCCCCAGGCAGAGAATAACGGAATTTCACAGTGTCCAAGGCACTACAGTAAAACGCCAATGGTCCAGCATCTGATGGTCTGGCACTCTTGATGGTCTGGCACCATCAGGAAACTGGGAGTGCTCCAGGCAGCCGGACGATTGGAGCTGCTCTGCCCCCAGCTTCCCAGATTCAGCTGCTGCTAAAACTGATCAGCGGCTGAATCGGAGAAGCCGGGGGCAGAGCAGCTGGAGTGCTGCCAGGTAGGTCCCCTAGCGCTGTCCCTCGGGGCTGCGGGACCATCCCGGCAGCATCCCAGCTGTCCCCGATTCAGCCGCTGCTGAAACTGACCAGTGGCTGACTCCAGGAAGCCTGGGGCAGAGCAGCTCTGCCTCGGGTTTCCTGGAGTCAGCTGCTGATCAGTATCAGCAGCAGCTGACTTGGGGATACCTGGGGCAGAGCAGCTGGGGTGCTGCCGGGTTGGTCCAGTAGCGCCAAGGAACAGCGCTGCACTGCGGGACAAACCCGGCAGCATCCCATCTGCTCTCCTGCAGGCGTCCCCGATTCAGCCGCTGCTGAAACTGACCAGCAGCAGCTGAATCAGGGATGCCTGGGGCAGAGCCGGACTATCAGAAGGGAGGGCTACGAGGGGTCTGGGGTGGCATCCTCCCCCACCCCAGACCCCTCATAGCCCCCCCTTATGATAGTCCGGCATATATGATAATCCGGCACCCCCTGGGTCCTAAAGGTGCCGGATTATCGGAAGTTTACTGTACAAGGATAGGGAATTGATTGAAATATACCAGATGGTATTGGCAATCACCCCATGCTGCAGAGGAAGGCAAAACCTTCCCAAGGTCATAGCCAGTCTGACCTGTGGAGCAATTCCTTCCAGACATGAGATGACTTTTCAAATGTCTTTTTATTGTTGGTTTTCCTTGATAGCATTGTGCGCTTGTGTAACTTTATAGACAGTCAGCTTCATGTGTTTGCATGGTTATGCTAACCTGCAACAGGGAAGAGTACACTTTCATTTTAAATAGTAACATTTTATTCTAAAACCACAAAAGTTGACAAGAAGACTCAGACACGAGTAGTACCTGAAACTATTTTGTAATTCTTAGTAAATTTGTCGTTGGTCCTTTAACTGTTGCTTTACATGCAGCAGTATCACTTTAAGTTTTACTTAAATACTAATTCTCTAAACTTGTTCTTAATATGACTGTTAATTTGGTGGAAGGAGAAACATTAATGGAAGATGAAGCTGATCAACAATCATATTTTAGTTAATGTGGTGATGTAACCCAGACATTCTAAAAAGGCCTTGGTTGCCCTGCTGAATTGACTTTTTTCTCCATTTGTCTGATTTCTTCCCTAAATAATTACATTGTGACATGAGTGCCAGATGTTGCTATGGTCTTAATTTTTAAAATTCTAATGACTTTCATTGCAGACAAAAACCTTGAAAATGCCGATGAAGCAGCAGAACAGTTCAAATTAATCCAAGCGGCGTATGATGTACTGAGTGATCCTCAAGAAAGAGCATGGTAAGTAACACTTGTCTGCCAGTGGAGAGAGAGAGATTGATTCTGCTTTTCTGTCTTGGGCAAGATTTCCATTGACATCATTTGTGGCTTGCTTGTATTGGTAGTCTGGATTGACTCTTGGAGGGTAACAGGCACTTATCCTACGAATAAGGATGTATACAACTATTGGGTCCCAGGATTACAGCCATACGGCATGTTAGTTGTGTTCTTGTAACAAAAGACACTTGAAATCACCTTTTAAACATTGTGTTCCTCGATTGATTTGCTTATTTAAAGTGGTTTTTGCTTCCATTTCTCCCTCATGTGAGTGTCAGGTTTATAGTGGTGTCCTTTCTCCCCACTTTGGATAATAGTGAGTTGCTGGCTTCATAAGTTTAGCTTTCTCAGGAAGCATATTTTTGCTTTTTCACATATTAGAGGGACAAATGGCAGGTATATCAGCATAAAAATGAGGAGTGCTTGAAGAAGGTGTTCAGATATCTACATATCTTGTAATACACATTCATGGAATTCTCAAGGAACGTGTTAGAAGATCTTTCCAAGAAAAACTGGAAGGTCCACACTGCCTTGGGTTTTCATTTCAGTGGTTGTTTTCAGTTTTATGTGTGCTTGATGCTATTTTCTGCTAGGTATGATAACCACAGAGAAGCTCTACTGAAAGGAAGGGTTAACGGAGAGTACCAAGATGATAGTTTGGATCTGCTGCGCTACTTTACTGTTAGCTGTTACTCTGGATATGGGGATGATGAAGAGGTAATGAACTGACTCCCTAATAAGTTAAGTTAAAACTTCTAAGAAAAGTGATGGAATTAAATTAGTGTATTGGTATACCATTCTTAAAATTAGTGAATGTAAATCGAAAAATCTTTATAACAATCTATATTTTTTTAAAATGGGGGAGGGGAAGCAAAACATACCCTGGATATTTAGTCAGTTTAAAATATCCCCTTAATCAAAAATGCCTTAAAACTGTATAGAAACACTTTTGAATTTATAATCCAGAGCATATTAAAAGTGCTCAGTTCAGTTCCTAAAACTTGTGAAAAGAAATGAAATGCCACATGTAGCTTTATAGGAACTTTTTAAAAAATGATATATTAAAAGGGTATAAAACATTTCTAAGATTAAGTTGGAAGTATTTTACTTAAACTTTCATGTACTTGAATAGCTGCTGTAGATTGGCAATGATGCTACATTAGGTGCTATTTTTACTTGTTGTGGAAGAGGGCAGATTTACTATATTTTTCTTTCAACTTTTTCTACATACTGCATTTTGATGTTCGTAGAGCTGGGACTGCTTCTAAGTGAGTTAAATACATTCCAATATGCTTTCTTAAAAAACTACTCCATAATAGTTTGTCAGTGATGATGACAATGTCTATGCTGATAACCTCACACCAGCTGAAGCTCTGTTTGGACATACAGATGATGAGGAGGAGAACTCCAGTTTTGAAGGATTTTAGCTCTTGTGTGTTAGCTTGGTTGCTGATTGAGCTAAGGTTGTTGTACTTTTAAAGTTACGGTATTTTTGATACCATATTGTTTTTGTTGACCCCCTTTTCCACTTACAGAGCTAGGTTATTGTTTTTCTTTGAAATAAATATTCATGTAATTTTATTGGTATCTATCTTCATTTTTTACATTTACCAGTAGCTGCCTCATTTCCTACCCTAGGCTTATACTCGAGTCAATATTTTTTCCCAGTTCTTTGTGGTAAAATTAGGTGCCTCGGCTTATATTCGGGTCGGCTTATACTTGAGTATATATGGTACATAATATATTCCCAGGCACAATTTTCACCGTGGAGTTTTTTGCTAAAATGTTTCACAAGTTGGAATGCTTTAGAATATAAAATGCAACACTATGACAGAGCTCTCAGGTATGCACTCGTTGCCATTTAAATTCCAGGTGGAGTTTAAGGTGTTGATGTAAATAGGCCAAAATGGTTTGGAATATGCTTGCCTGAGAGATTGTCCCTCTCCTTGTGATACTGCCATAGCTGCAAGGAGATGGAACATCTTTAACTTATAATAGTGGAGCTCTTGGTAAGCTGGTCCCAGGAATTCTCTCCTGCCTTAGTCCAACACAGCCTACATTTGCTGATGTTCAAGGCTTGTGTATTATTTCCCTTACCATGGAGAAGTTTTGTCTGTGCCTGCTATGGGTCAGCTCCCTGACTCAGCTGGCCAAAGGGCAACATGGGTCTTCCCTTTCAGACTTTCTGAAGATCTGCTATTTTTTTACATAAATGAGAGAGGCACATACTCCAGCCCGCCCCCTTCACCCGCCTCCAAGAACAGGTCGAACCTCTGTAGTCCAGAACTCTTGGTCTGGAAACATCCCTCATCTAGAATGATTTTAGTTAGTTGGATGTCCATTTTTCATGGGTGTGGCCAAGTTTCCTGTGGTCCCATAAAGTTTGTTCACAGCCACCAGTCCTAGCTCTCAGTGTTTAGTGATGCTGTTTAGCTCTAATTTACCCCTAAATGTCCTCCAACAGCCCAGTAAGCAGTGAAAGTGTTGGTAATACTGACAGACACTGTTGACCTCCCATGGTCCAGAAATTTCTCTTGTTCAGAGCCGGTCAGTTCCCGAGGGTGCCAGACTACAGAGGTTCAACCTATATCTTCCTGGACTGTCCAACCCCTGCTCTGGTGAATGTTTAGAGTGTTCACATATCTGCTGCTACTCTTACAGAAGCAGTACACCATAGATCCTAGTTATAGCTCAAGTCACTGCTTCATTTAATTCACAGTAGTTAGATATATCTATAGGGAAAACAAATGCAAGTTTATTTAACACAGTATACAGGTTTTACTGGGCTACAATGATTTTTTTTGTTTTTAACAAAATTGAAAGGGCTTCTAGAAGCTGGCATAATCACTTGATTTTGGAATACAAAGTCTTCGTTTTGACTTAAAACTGTTAATGTAGAATTTAAATAATGATCTTTCTTAATTCTTAAATTGCATAGGCATACAATTCTTTAGTAATGGTGATGTGTATTTCAGGGGTTCTTTGCAGTCTATCGCCAAGTTTTTGAAAATATTGCAAAGGAAGAGGTGGAATATATATCTCAGGAAGATATGGAAGAATTTCCTACTTTTGGATATTCTCAAAGCGACTATGATGAGGTAAGAAATATGATGTTTGGAAGTCTAACTTTTTACTCCATAATATATCTCTAGGACTTGGGGCTTAATCGATGTCCCATTGAAATCAGAGGAAAGACTCCCACTGACGTTGAGAGTCGAATCTATCCCAATATATACATAGTCATTCCTGCCCAACCAAAAGCTGTTATTTAATGCCTTGTGTATACTTAAACATTTCACCACTTTACCTACATTAACATAATGTCAAAAATTCTAGCATAGGTGCTGTTATACTAGCATAAAAGTGCTTATATAGTTTATCCAGTTTAAAGAAGAAAATAGAATACACTGGTATAAAGAAAGGATGTTAAGTAGCGTATAGTTGTCTAATTTAATAGTCAATTGGGTGGCCCTGCTGCTTTGAAATGCTGTGAGGAGCCCAGCGTCGGGCTCCTTGTGGCATTTCAAAGCAGTAGCACCACTTGGAGCCTGAGATCAGCTGGGGACTTCCCAGCTGACCCTGGGATCTGTGCAGCGCTACTGCTTTGAAGTACCCTTCTTCCCCTCCCCCACATCTGAGAGCCAGCAATGGGGGAGGAAGTGACTAGTTGACTATCCTGTCGACTGTCCAATGAGCATTTGCTTATTGGACAGTCAACTAGTCCTTAACAACCCTAGTCTAAAGCACCATATAGTGCAGTGGTTACCCACCAGTAAATCGGGTGGATCTTAGAACCTTTGATAGGTGATCCTGATAGGTGTGGCTGGCACTTCATCTTCCCCACTCAACACTGTCATGCTGCTCCTGCCTTCTGCTTTGGAGATGCCCCTCATCCGTGGGAGCCTGCTGCTTGCTATGCAGGGCATGAGAAGAAGAGGAAGGGGGGTGCTAATGTCAGGGTGCCCTTCCTTCCACCCTGTACCTCATCTCCACAGAGCAGAGGAGATCAGGGATGGGGAGAATTTGCTTGCTGCTTTTGGGAGTGATGCAAGGCCAACTTAGGGGTGAGCCTACATTAGCCCCTTACACCACTACCCAGAAGCCACCTGTGGTAAGTGGTGCCCAGCTGAAGCCAGCATTCTGAACCCGGGCCCCTATCCTGAAACCCTCCTGCATCCCAGACCCTTGGCTCCAGCCTGATAAAAGTGAATGAGGATAGGGGAGGGCGGATGGAGTGAGCAGCAGCAGGGCCTTGCAGAAGGAGGTGGGGTGGGGCAAGGGGGTTTGGGGTAGATCCTGGGTTGCACTTAAATTCAAAAAATGATCTCGTGCTTAAAAGATTGGAGACCATTGATATAGTGACAAAACTGTTTTAAAAAGATTACACCCATTACTAGTATAGCAGTAAAATTTAAAGTGCAGACCAGGTCTAAGAAATAAAAGGATTTAATTCTTGATGTCTAATTGAAACCACCCTTGCCAACATTCTGAAGTGTTACATGTTACAACAAGGAATACCTGAAAATCTGGTAACTACAGTATTTTATTTAACAACACAAATAGAGTCTCTTATGTAATTTTTCTTTAACTACAGTTACAAAAGTAGAACTTGACTGTGTAAAACAAAATACCCAAGAGACCCTGTGACTTCTGCTGAAAACTCTTCTGCTATCTAAGCCTTTTCATGGTGATGCCATTCTCCCTATTCCTCCCCCCTTCTCCACCACACTTATACTTCCATGATACCATCTACACTCATCGCTGCTCTGTTCAGTCATTTCTCACTTCTTGTCCAGAGACTGGTCCTTTCATTCTGTCATGCCAGCAATCTAACAACTGAATATCTCTCTTGTTAACTTTTACCAAAACTTACTAACATACTTGCTGTCTTCAATCAGTAAGCTGACAGTCCGCTTTCTATATTAGCATTTAAGAGGATCATTCCTAAATATATGTTCTAGTGTGTTCCTTCTTGCTCTCACCTCTTTATAATACTTTCTGGTGTGATTATTGCTCCTAAATTTAATTTATATTATACTCTTAATCAGCTGTGTATATTAATGTTCCTTCTGGCATCTTCAGAGAGACATTTACTCTAAATTGTTTAAGGTGTGATCAAATTCCTAACTCAGACTATTATATCAAATTATTTGACAGTCAGTAGAAGTTGGATACAAACTGTTACAGACTGGATTGTGATAAGGGGCCTTCAAGGCTGCAAGTAAAGTTATGAGTTGGCATAATGAGATAAAATTATAGAAATGGGAGGAAATGTTTATGGGTGGAATCACCAGAATGTTTTGATGGAATGAGGTTGACACATGATCTTCGACCTTTGTTTCTCTGGGTTCACTAAATGAAAGCCCTTGATTAAAAGCCCTGAGTTAAAGTGAACAATTTTTAAATTGACTGACAATTCCACCATTTCCAGGAATCCTGAGTCCACTGTGGCATTGTTTGGCCTTCATCATCCTGATCCCAAAAGGCTTTCTGATCAGACTGGGCCATAGAGATGGAACCAGATGACATGCTGCTTTCAGCAGCTTTGGCTAAAGCTGGAGTGAACCTTGAGTTCCTGCCATTGTCATTTTCCACCTTATTTCTCCTCTCTTGTATACCTCTCTAACTTTAGTTTTATAAGAATTGGACTTAAGTGCAGCCTTGGCTACCTTTTTCTACACTGCTGTGAACAAGCAAGCAATCTTTTGAACAACCCAAACCTGGTATGAATTTGGATAGGTCTCAAGAGTGGCTAAATGTGGATAGGTCTCGAGTGGCTAAATAAGACCATATGCTCAGGTCTGTTTCTCCATCAGGAAGGTTGCAAGTGAAAATCGGTACCAGAGACAAGCTTTCTCTCTACATTATTTGCTATTATTTTCTATCTCTGTGTGCACCTTTCCTCTTAAAGAAGAAACTTACATCAGTCTTCTAACATCAGCAGCAATTCAAGATCTTTACAACTAACTTTAACCTAACTTCTTGTTACCTCCAGAAAGGGTAGTGAATGCTATCTAAAACTGTCAAGTGGGGCTTTTCTCTGTAAATAACTATGGAGGAAAAATAAATGTGGGCTGTTGCTACAATAAAAGGCTTAATAATTTTAATTTGAGATGCTTCAGCTCTTTAGGTTTTTTCCATTGCCTTAACAAATGGTGAAAGACTTATGTTTTTTAAAAATCGTAGTTATTACAGTGGAAGTTGCCAGCAGTATTTTGACAAGAAAACCTGGATGAGTTTGACTGGTTAATATTGTAACAGTGAAGAGGGGTTTCACTACCATCTTATCCCTTGTTAGGCCAAAGACCTACCCCCTTCCTGATGCCACAGGCCAATGCCAGCTTTTTTAGCTAACTTGGCGTGAATTTGGCTTCACTGAAATTTTAAACCTTTTTCCACATAGTAAGAAATATTTTGGACTTCTCTAAGACACTCGGTTTATGACCATATGACATCTTGATTTAAAAACTTGCATATAGAACTATCAGTGGAACAGTTTACCATGGCAGCTGGTGGATTCAGCACTGCTTAGAATCTTTAAAATTAGATATCATTCTAACGGACATCTTTAGTTCAGATCCTGAAGAAAAAATTCTGCGTGTGTGTGTGTGTGTATATATATATATAGGAAGTCAAATGAGATCATTATGGGAGTCCCTGCTGGCTTTGAAGTCTGTATATCTATGACAATCTAATAGTCTTTGGTTACTTTTATTCAGTTTAATGTCTTACAACTTTTGCCAATTCCCTTTTTTCAATAGGTAGTCCATCCTTTTTATGCATACTGGCAGAGTTTCTGTACTCAAAAGAATTTTGCTTGGAAAGAGGAGTATGACACACGGCAGGCATCAAACCGCTGGGAGAAACGAGCTATGGAAAAAGAAAACAAGAAAACTAGAGACAAAGCAAAAAAGGAGAGAAATGAACTGGTTCGTCAGCTAGTGGCTTTTATACGTAAAAGAGATAAGAGAGTACAGGCACACAGAAAACTCATAGAAGAACAGAATGCAGAAAAGGCTAGGAAAGCAGAGGAGCTCCGAAGGCAACAGAAGCTCAAACAAGCTAAGTATGTAAATATTGAAGGAAGCATTTTTTTAAGTTGAGAAATAATCATAGGAGATTCGTATGGAGTCCTGCTTTACCATCAGCAGCTTCCATTGTTTTAAGGAGTAAATTTTGGGATTTCTAACATCTGTCCTTAACACTGAGTTGCTGATGGTGGAGACAACCCTTCTGGTACTCAACATCTTGAGTAGTAAAGAAATATGAAATAAGTGTTAAGAATCAGTATTATATTGTTGCCAGTCTTCGGTGCCAGATAATCAAAAAGACAGAGGAGATAGCATGTTGGCAGAAGGCTCCTGAAGATGAGAAGTGGGTAGTGGATTTCCTTTACTGAAGGAGATCTGTTGTTCCTTTATCACTGCGGGGACGGGGCATTCTGTATCCCTCATTGCGCTGGTGATTAAATGCTTTCATCTGTTTGATTAATATTTGTGACCATTTTCTTTGGGTGTGTGTCTTGTCCCTTTTTATTAATCTAGTCTAGATTCAGTGATTTGCATGGGACGGTACTTTAAGACTACTCAACAGCTATATTTTCCCAACTGCTTGGTAGTGTTATTTTGACAGCTTTGCTAGCTAACTTACCGTCATGTCAAGAATATCATATGATATAAACTTCATACCTCAATTTATTTCTTAAACTTTGGGAACATTTTAGAACATAGTAAATTTTGCTAAGGAAACAATGTACAGGATTGATCAATGGTTGATTTAACTTGAGTTGCTTATTTGGTAATAGTCATACCTCTGACAGGGAGGAGTTTATTAGCATTTGATGATTCCTATCAACTTGGAATGTTTGCACATTAGCTATAATTTTTGAAATTCTCTCTCTGGATTGCACTCTCAAAGTGCAAAATACATTGTTTATAGTTTAAGAATGAATTAGGGGCATGGCACTGTAAACACAATATATTCTTGGCACAAAGCCTGTCTTGGAGGAGGAGGAAGAAACTTAAATGTGTAACCACTCTTTTTTTTGCCAGTAGATCCATAGGCTCATTTTCATTGTTTCTGGAAGTTTTTAATAGAGTGCATTTTTTCCATTGAAGATAATGAAGCCAATGTGGCATGTTCATTGTGGGCAAAAAGCTTGAAAACTGAGTGCAGGAGGTAATTGGAGTGAAAATCTGAATAGCTGAAGTACAATCGTTGAAGAGTAATTGTGCGGTGGTTATATAAATCAGACATTCAAACCTACCTGCTCAGTTTTCCAATCCCTGCAAAGAAATATTAGTTACTAGTATGTGTTAGATTTGGTTGAGACAAGACAACAATGGGGTTTCCTTCTTTTTAAATAAGTTAACATAACAAAATAATGATCCTTAAATAAAACACAGTTACCACTAAATTCTCGGAAATATAATAAGTTGTTATATTCTGTTAAAGGCTTGGTGAGCAATATAAAGAGCAAAGCTGGATAACTATGTCTGATCTAGAGAGAGAATTGCAACAGATGGAAGCACAATATGAAAAGGAATTTGGAGATGGATCTGATGATGAAGAGGAAAGAGAGGAACAAGAGTCAAGAGAAGGAATGGATGGTAAGGGTTAATGTATTTTTTTATTTGATAGTTATGAAAAGACTTTGCAGTTGCTCCATATTTGTACATACATAACCATACAGCAGCATTCAAATTCTCCACATTTAAGTCTGAATTCCCTGCTGGTATATACCATTCACTTTGATAGTTCTGTCCTCCTTTTAAACACTTATCTTCGCGTTAATAATGCATGCTTATTTGTGATTGTGTGAAGAAAAGAACAGATTATATAACAAGAGAGTTCTTATCACTGTGCATACTTTAGAATTACTAAAGGGCTTGAATGGGCATTGTTGAAAGCATGATGTGGTTTTAATTGCTAAGTATCTCCTTAGAATCACTGTCAGTTTCCTTCCTCTTCCCTTTTCAGATAAACAGAGTGATGAAGCTGAAGATGTTGAATTTTATGATGACTTGTACTGCCCTGCTTGTGACAAAACTTTAAAGACTGAGAAAGCGTAAGTTTTATTTCTTTGAAAAATTTGGAGACTTTCACATTCACTTAGGTTATCTGGGAACTAAAGTTCACTTTAAATCAATTAGTTGTAATGTTATTTGGGCATCCATGCCCCCCAGTCTCTGAAAGGCTCAGACTTTTTCTTTCATTCATTTTTCATTGGTATTGGAATTTCTTACTCTGAACATTGAAAAGAATTAACCATTGTCATTGGTCAGAGACCATTAAGCAAATTTTGCTTAATTTACATATAAAGTAACAATTGCTCTTGACTCCAATGCTAGTAATTATCTACTGCTCTTCATAGAATGAAGAACCATGAAAAGTCAAAGAAACACAGAGAGATGGTAGCACTGTTACGGCAACAGCTGGAGGAGGAGGAAGAGGAATTCTCTGTATCTACAGATGACAAAAATGCAGTACACACCAAAGAAGATGAAGAAATAGAAGAAACACCCAAACAAAAGTACTTTAAAACAGATTGCTTACATTTACTGTAGCATTGATTTATAAGCAGGCTACATAATATGGTGGTCTTAATGAGACTGAAAAAAGACTCTGGTATAGGCTTATGATCACATCAGGACTCATTTAATTGTATTGAACAAGATGTTAAAATATCTCTTTACATCAAAATCCCAACAAAAAAGTAGATTTTTAATATCTGTGGAATAAACTGTTATCTTCTGGCTTTATAGATAGTAAATATCAAGGCAAAGCGAAGATGTTAATATTTTAAAGCAGGAGATCTTGTAACAGGCTAAGTATTTGTTGTGTAGGTACAGCACTTTCCGCCAGGTATCATGACTAGCCTAGAAAACTTGTTTGTTTTTTCAGTTAATCAGAAGCTAGCTTATGCAGTATAAAGCATATTTTTAAAAGCTGTACTGTGCTTATGATTAAGCTGGTTTCTGAATGGCTAAAGTTTAATGTCCTGTCATTAAGGATCATGGTTTTCAGATTCCGTTTGAGCAGAACATCTCCAGAGATATCACTAACTACCATAAACAGCACACAAAAGAGGTGGGGGGGGGGGGGGGGGGGGG